TGTGTGTGTGTGTGTGTGTGTGTGTATTCGTGTGCATCCAGAACATTTACTCCAGAAGACGCATAACTGTGCCTGGTGAATATTGAAAGTCGTGACCACCGAACCACGGAGTCCACTCAGTAATACATTACGCGAGAAACTCCCAACTTCTCTCATATCTCTTCATCAAATTGTCATCGAGCGTGCTTGGTCAAGCGAATATTTTGCAAGCTAAGACTTTTTTCACCATCCCCCCCCCTCCCTTATCAAATCACATCAATTTTCCCACCCCCTCTTTCTCTTTCCTTTGCCCCCCCCCTCTCTCTCTCTCTCTCTGATCCCCCCTTCCCTTTTCTTTCCGTCTCCCCATTTCTCACTTCCCCGTAGCGCCAAAGTGGTCAGCCAAACAGGTACGATGTATTACGTTAACACCTCCCAGCCACCGTCTACTAAAACAACGATAAATCACATCGGGGTGACCCCTGCACCTGCGTGGTGCTGACCGCAGTCCCTACCTGTGTAGCACAACTCTACACCTACATCTGCTGCTGTTCCAGCCGACATCTTTATCATAACCGCACATTCTTTCCTTTCGACCGCTGTGTTAGTTCGCATCAACGTCATCCACCATATCCTCCTGTCTCTATTTCTCTCTCTCCCTCCCCTCCCCTCCGCCCTCTCCCCCCCCCCCCCCCCCTCTCTCTCTCTCTCTCTCTTTCTTTCTCTTCCTCTCTCTCTCTCTCTTTCTTTCTCTCTCTCTCTCACGCACAGACACACACACAAACTCTCACACACAAACGAACTAATGCACACAACTTATTACAGCCTTGTTAATAACAACAGTGAACAGGCAAGAAACCAGCCTTACAAAACCCGAAGATTTTAACAACACAAACAATAAACCCCGAAAAATTGCAAATCAGACACCTTTACGCCCTCCATGGGACGAGAGAGAGAGAGAGAGAGAGAGCTGAGGTTCTTTCTCGGGAAGAACCAATGGACCAAATCCCCCCCCCCCCTCCTCCCTCGCTCTCTG